GATCGTAAATACTGTTGTGTTTTTTTTGTTTGTTTCTGCTGAAAGTAGAGACTTTTAAATGAAATGTATTAGGTTAATTGGATAATTATCAATTCTCTACTTAACTTTGTATTGTGTGTTTCTAGCTAAACTCAGAGATAGCATTTTTCTTTTTGGTAGACTTTGGGTTGGCTTCTGTATGTGTTCTAAAATAAATTCTAAATGATATTATTAGTGACGGGGTGAACAGCAAATAGAATGGGATACCAAATATTTCTGTAATCACTTAGACATCAAATAATGTCATTACTTGGGTTTTATCCTTTGTATTATCTTACCATTCAGTCATACCTCAAATCTGTTTACCTACAGAATTGAGGCAGGGTAGACTGTCACACTCCATGGGGGTAGATTTTCAATAAATGATCACGATGCAAAATATATTTCAATAAATAATAAAACAATATTTCAATTGGTATTTTAAGGTTTATAAGATATTTAATAATGCATTTGTATAATATCCAAATATATTAGTACATTAGTATAATATCCAAATATATTAGTACCTTATATTAATATAATTGGATCATTACAGCAAAGCACCAGGGAGGTTATTGTCTTAATATCCATCTTATATTTGGAAAAGCAAACAGGTTAAGGAACTCAACAAAATTTACAGAGCTTGTTAATGAAAGAGCCAGAAAGAAACCATTCTGATTTGCAAACTATGCTTTATTTTTTTCCATGTTCCTCATATAATATTTAGGAATAAATTATTATATTATTACAGTTGGAAACATTTTTCTGGAAAAACTTTGAAACTAGAAATATACTGAAAAGAGACTTCTTTTATTTTTAAATTTATTTATTGGCATATAGTTGCTTTACACTGCTGTGTCAGTTTCTGCTGTACAGCAAAGTGAATCAGCCATACATATACATATATCCCCTCTTTTTTGGATTTCCTTCCCATTTAGGTCACCACAGAGCACCAAGTAGAGTTCCCTGTGCTATAGAGTAGGTTGTCATTAGTTATCTATTTTATAGATAGTAGCGTATATATGTGAAAATAGACTTCTTAATGATATCTGTATAGTATTGTTTTATCAGACCCTTTAAAATAACATTATTAAAGTTTCAGTGCATATATTATTATGACTCAGATGAATAAATCTGTTTATTTTCAAAGATGCACAGATAAAGAAGCTGGGTCCACATGTTTGAACGCATAGTTTGGGCTGATTTAACTTTGAAACCTATGTCACTTGTGTATTTCCGTGTTATCTGATTGTCCTTGGGGGGAAAAAAAACTGGTTTTACTGACTATGTTTTTTCTCCAACAGAACTGAATAAATTGGTGAATAATTTTAGTATGATGTAGAAGTAGTTGCAGGTGTGTTACTAGGATTTGAGTTCAGACATTTCACTGAGTATGAAGTCAGCTAAACTAAATCATTATCATCATCATCATGTCTCTAGAAGATGCATAAAAAGAAGACTTTCCAGATTTTGAAAAGAGGTTAAAAGCAGTGTAAATATTTTCTACTTGAAATTGTTGATATTTGCCTATTTTTAACCCCCTAAAATGGGAATAAAACTTTCACATAAAAGTTATTATGATCTTTTAAAATATATCGACTCTAGAAATTTTTACCATTAATTGTTATCTAAACTTGGCAGGAACAATTTTTCTGTACGTTGACTGCCCATCAACTTTCGCTACATAATTGTATTAATTATGTAGTATTAATATCTATTTTTTCCCTCTATAGTCACCTACTGAATACCATATACATAAAGTTATAAATCATAAATGAATGCTTTGTCCAACTGATCTTTATTTTAGGAAGTAAGAAAGCGTTAAGTCATGGCTTTTGTAAAAAAGTATTTGAATATTTAGAAACTGGATATATACGTAGATGGGATGGATGGATGGTTGGATAGATAGTAGTTTATCTACCCACACACTGAAAGGAGGTGAGAGGGAGGGAAGAAAGCAAGAAAAAGAGGGAAAAGGAGAAAGAGAAAGCGAGAATGAACATAAGAGCGAGAACACTCCTTTAGATTTTGGAGGAGCACGTAAAAATAATATGAATATTTCAGTAATTCATTGTTCAAAGTTGAAAGGAAATGCACAGTAATAAAACTATTTCACAATACTTAAAGGATATATTCCTACAGATACAAAAAATATCCCATAATGCATAATAAAAATTCTGTCAATCAAGTATATGTATTTTTTCTTCATGATATTTAATAACTAGTTTTCAGTGTTGCACTTCTCCCATAAACTTGGGCCAGTTGGCTAAGCCGATTGGTGGCTTTAGTGTGATATAACTGTGTCAGAATTGTGTCCAGCCAAGACCTTGAACCCAGTCTTTCAGCCACAATCCTCTTCCATAGGCCTTCAGGATGGACGAAATCCATTGTCAGAAACTCACCAGCTCTGACTCCTGTGTTGGAAAATACACAGTGTATCGTTCAGTATCTGAGCACGTGAGGCTATATTGCTCATGGTGAACTCATGCCCTGACAGACACCAAAAGCAAAGTTTGGAGTCTACAAACCTAATCAAGATGCATTCTGTGAGCTTTTTTGGTTCCTTTTTTTTTTAAAATTTTTAAAATTTTTATTGGAGTATAGTTGATTTACAGTGTTGGATTAGTTCTGCTGTACAGCAAAGTAAATCAGTTATGCATATACATGTATCCACTCTTTTTTAGATTCTTTTCTCGTATAGGTCATTACAGAGTATGAGCAGAGTTCCCTGTGCTGTACAGTAGGTCCTTGTTGATTATCTGTTTTATATATAGTAGTGTGTGTCTGTCAGGCTTTCTTGGTTCTAACAATTTCAGAGTTATTTTTAAACGTTTCCTCCTTTTTTTAGCCTTCGTCTGTCATTGTCTTTCTCTGTCTCTGTTTCATCCTGCCTTCTCTTCACACCTCTAACCATATCACATTAATGTTCACATTGCGTTGGAGCTGGATGCCAAATGTGTTCTGGTACCACTTTTAGTTATATATGGTTTTAATTTTCTAAACTGTTATAATGGAAAATTTAAAATTCTTATAATGAAACAAATTTGAATGGATCTCAGATGAACAGACAAAATGTGACCACATTATATAACCTGGAAAAATACCCTGGAGAAAGAAAGAAATGAAAAAAGACAAAACACGACTAAAGGGGGGAACAGGGGGAAGGTGTTAAACTTTAGTAAATTAAATATAGACACAATAAAAATAGAACATTAGAAATTAGATAAACGGAGGAATGGAACTCTAGGTGCAAAATTCCTCTAAAAGCGGCAGTCAAGAAATGTTTCTTCATGACTCACAAGCATTCTATTTTCACTGAATACTTAGAGACTGTACCTAAGCTCTTCGTTTTTGGATATTTGTTTGTCTAAACCTACTTACTTGCTCTTGAAGTTGCCTCCTGATGTCACTTAAACTCTGCTCTGATGTTTCAGTTTGACATTTCAGGGTTTATCTGGAACCAAGTGTATGTTTGTGTGTATCACTCAAAGGAAATCAACTCTTAAAGTAGTAGTAATATGAAAAGTTATGTGTTTCTTTAGCTCATGGATTGATAGTCATCTTTAACATATGAGTATATATATTCACCTTCAGGATTCACATAGAAATATATCAGCCTTTCCCAGACTGTTTCATATAATTCAGTTACACCACAACTCACCTGTTCCACATGATATTAACAAATGTTCCCAAAACAGGATCCTTGGTTAAATTGGTTTGCAAAACATTGCATAGGCTGTATCTCCCTCTGAGAGTTCTATTAGTTGTATGTTAAAGGCTCTGAGAGGGCCTTCAGTAAATTAACAATACTGAGGATACTGTTAAACCAAATCTATTTGCTGGACAGTTTGAGAAATATGAAAATATGTACAATGAATTACTTGGTTGTGAATTTATTAGTGGATAATGTTAATACTGTCTTATCAATTAAGGTACAATCTAAGACCACAAAGCGAATCTCTCACCTCTCTCTTACTCCCAAGTAATCTTCTCTTTATTTGATAAAGATTTATATGTTTCTATCCTAAACTTTACAATTACAGACTGGAAACCACGTTATTAACAAGCGCCCCTCCCCACTGCCCCATGTAAATGAAACATTTCTTTCTTTTTAATCCCTTTCTTTCCCTTTTGCTCCTTTCCCTAATGTTATAGATCCACTGCCAGCAATACCTCCCTGAATCTTGACCCAGTCCATCACTCATGGGGAAAAAGTATTACTAAATGCCAGTCTACTTTTGCCTACTTTCTAGCTTCACGCTTCATCTCTGCCCTCCTAACAAATCCCTCCTTTGCCATCCTAGCCTCCTGAATTCTTTCAGGAATCTCCTCCTTCTAACCTGCGTTCAGTCCAAACCTGCTCTCAGTTTCCTCTCATTTGAAGGAAAATACGAACTTGTGCCAAAATGTAAAGAACATGATCCTTCTGACACATGTTGACTTAGAACATGGAACGATCCTCGCGTCTCATCTTGTGTAGTAGGGTTCCAGCTCTCTACAACATGTAGGGGTTTTCAACTCAATTCAGTTCCACAGGTCCATGTGGAGTCCTCTGATAGACCGGCGTGGATTGAACAGCTCTGGGTCTACTGATCTACTCAAGCCCACACATTGAGCTCTCAGGGGTGACTGATGAAGAGGATACACGTTGCCAGCATCTTTAATTTGAGAAACCGTGTTAGCACCAAATTCCAGTTTCTTTGTATTAATTCTCAAGGAAAGGTGCCTTTCCTTTGGTATGTAGGTGACTCTGATGGCCTTGCATAAATGTCTCTCAGCTCGGTCATCTCTGCCAGGTTTGGTTTCCAACCTGTACCAGTCTTGGTTCAGCCGTCACTTTTTTACATCCCTCTCCTTCCCCTGGACCCTTCTGCAATCTACTCTCTGTTTACCTAGCACCCGTGGATGATGGTCTCTATGTATTTGATTGGTCTCAAAGGTAGTTACCTCAACAGTAAGGAAGTGCCTGTCTTTCCCCACAGGAGTGCGTCTTGACAGAGTACGTGGAGGTCGGCAGAAGTACAAGCGCAGGATAGATGCGGAGAACAGCCCATACCTGAACCCTCAGTTGGTTCAGCCAGCCAAAAAGCCATGTAAGTACAGCAGACATGTCTGGCTTTCCAGCACACGACATCCTCCCAGCTGGCTCTGGGTACATCACTTCTGGCATGCCCATTCCTACTGACTCCAACGAGACTTCTCTTTGTTGGCGGGGGTGGGGAGATGTGGCTTTATTCCCAAGGATTGCCTTTGAAGAGCAACAACAACTCAGCTAATTATCTTTTTTTCCTGTGGTTTTCTCCCCCTCTACCTTTTTTTCACCTAGTCATTTTGTGGAAGCATAAGCATACCAAGGCATAGCTTATGTAGTGCGAATTTTACATTTACGGGCTATCTTTATTTTCAGAGGTACATAAAATGGATCGTACCATGATCATTAGTTCATTGGAGCTGTTAGTTTCAGATTTCACCAGAAAGTGATTTTTGTAGTTTCCACTAGCTAAATGAGTTTGTTCAACCTCCCAATGAAAATACATTAGGAGCCTCATTAATTTAGAGCTATAGAAGGTTAACACACTAGCTAGCAATAGATTAAAACAAGGATGGGCCCTACTGATAACAAGCATAGGTTGGTGGTTCCATTTCAGATGCCCTTATGGGCATTATGAATTGTTTTTTAAAAGCCCATGGTTTGATAATGCCTGGCTGCAATTTGAAACAATGGTAGGTATGTAGCTAAAATGCAAACCCCATTCTCTTTGTCATTAGCTAAAAAGAGCTAGAATATAGATTGAGGCAGTTAACTGTGTTCCAGTTTCGGAAAAATCAGTTCATGGCTGTAGTGCAAAAGAGCTAACATTTTAGGATGTTTATGCATAGAGTTTATACGAGGCACTGAAAGTGCTTTGGTGGAAACAATTCTCACATTTAGCTGTCTCTGTCTCAGAAGACACAACCAGCCCTCACCAGAGGAAGTTGCAGCTATAGCAGTTCTAGAAAAGACACGGGTAATTTTTGATCTGCTTTCGAGGGAAGAGAAAAAGTGTCCTCTTCTCATTCAGATTCTCCAGGAGGGGTCGCTGCTATGCATCATCCGTGTGAGCATATGGGCATCTGTTAAATACATAAAACAGACCCTGAACTGTAAATGAAAGGACATTTTAGCTATGTCAAAGGAAAAACAACCAGTTTTACATAAAATTGAAGCTTAAGTGAACATATGGCATGGTTTCCTTTTGCCTTTCCAAAAAACATTATGTTGATTATACCTTCAATTGTCCAATCTGGCATCTTCTCCTCAGCCTGCATGAGCTGTCTGGCATTCTGCAAATACAATCTAGGACTGCATTAAGCAGATTTTGCACATTAGAATAAAAAAACTTTCTGATAATACAATAAAGTGCAATAAACACTAATGCTTAATTTCATTAGAGGTTTCGTTTTCCTGGATTCACTAATATCCAGACTGGGCATTTCTCACTCATTTTATATGAAGTCGACTGACACCATTGATGATATCCTCTACCGAGAGAAAAATGAGCACCAGCCCACTCGTAAGTCCACAGGATGGATAAAGAAACATCTATGGTTTTCGGCGTAAACCTGAGAAATTGGGAAGAGACTTGTCAAGTACCTTTAAGAAGATGACAGCAATTTCAGTGAGCTCCATTTGTCTGAGATGAAAGAGGACTCATTCATTACTCATTATCTTAAGGCCTCTGTGTTCATTTTCCTTAGTCTATCCAATTAGTGTATTTTGGTAACAAACATTTATAAAACTTAATTTTCAGATCCTGTCAGATAAATGTCAAGAGACCAGGCATGGGCTTTGCTCAGAAAGTGGCTGGGGGAGATTTCTGGAGCCTGACTGATTGTTTGTGTACTACAAAAGCCCAAGAATGAAAATTGGGTTCTATTGATTCTAATTAGGGAAACATTAAATAAGATTCACCTAGAAACAGTGCTGCCGGCTATTCCATTTTCTGAATGATAGGAATTTCTAAGCTTCCACCAAATTTCTCTGACCCCCTCCAGTCAAGTATCCAGTGGCTTGGGTAAAACAGGTTGCATTTTCCCTGTACTAAAAGGACTCGAATCACGATTTCCTTCCGTTATATTTTTGTACCCTTTATTACTGCATTTTCTTCTAATCCTGAGGATCTAGTAGTTGCTGACAGGTTTTGCTGCATTGTCAGAGCAATGAAAGTGGAAACTTTTCCAAGCGTAGCTATAAAACAGGGTGTTGTTTCGATAGCATATACGAGAAACAAATGTCATTCTCTTCAGATCCTACAAATTAAAAAAAAAAAAGAATATTTGATTTTAATTTCTTTTCTAGAAAATACGATATTTGGGAATACCTCCTTCCAAATCTGCATTTTTAATTTGATAATAATTGAATATTACTGCCATTGAATGGTTATCTGCTGATAATTTGAAGTGAACAGAATTCATGTGGCAGTCATAGTAGTAAAAATTTTAAACTCTATCAGAAAAATTACAAATTATAGCTTGGATAAGTATCCTTGTTATGTTGTTACAGCAGACAAAAAAAGAACTATGTTTTCAATTCTAAGGTATATGAAGTCTTTTCATTTTGAGTTAAAAAAGTTAAAAATGTATAGGGAAAGGCAAATGGTCTAGTAAACGTAGAGGAACCTTTGACTTGGCTCACAAAGATCGCATTTAATACCCTAGTTTTCTAGAGTAATAGGACACAGACATTGAAATATCTGAGTTTATTCTTACCTATTTGTATTTCCTCACTTAGAAGAAAGTATCAAATCTAAAGCTACATGTAGAAATTGAAAGTGGGGCCAACAAGAAAAATCATTCTGTTAGCAAGGCTTTATAACCCCTTCCATAAACTCTCACATGGCCCTGAGCGATAAAACACATTTGATGTGATGCTTTCCATTTGTCTCTAGTGTTTATTTTATGAAGGATTTTAAAAACATATATCACAAATTTCAGACAGATAAATCTGAACCAGAGAATGAACTAAAGACAACAGATGAAAATAGAGGATTAAAGTATTAGACGCTCCAAAGAGGAAATACAGTCACATTTAAGTTGGAGTATTTTTCTGGAAACTGACATTGGCTGTATTTGGAAGATGGGCCTGGTGTGTGGGGAGGGGGAGAAAGGCAAGTCGTTTGTATTGAATGCATCCCACAGAGACAGAGTTATACAGTCAGTAATTCACCCCGGCAGAAGGGTTCTGACCTTTGCTCCTCTTTAAAGGAATTAGGACAGTTAATGACTTTCATGCCCATTATGTCTATGGGCAGTAGGAGTTCTTTGCCTCCTGCATTATGTTCTATATTTCAATGGCTTATGTGGATATTTATTTTAAAGCTGTTGTATGCTATTTAATCTGCTTCCCCAGATCCCACTTAAGAATCAAAGAGCAGACCCAGAAAGCCTCTAACTTCTCTTATCTGTTTGCTATAAAAAATTTCATTACAGGACAGATGCTTCATTCCAGCAAAGGCAGGTAAAGCCAAGAAGAAACAAAGAACTATTACAACTGCTATGGGTTTTCCAGAACACTGTTTAATATATATATGTTGAACCGTAAATGGAATATTTGGGGTTGATTATAGGTGTTTGTGGGGTGTTTCTGTTCTGTTTTTTGTTTTTGCTCAAAACACCACCTAGTTTAGAACGTGCGAAAGAGGGATGATGCTACTAGTGATCTTGTAGTGCTCTGGTCTGATTCTGCAGATAACAAGATTGTCTCACATTTATTGGTGGCTGAACCGGAGAAGATCTATGCCATGCCTGACCCTACTGTTCCCGACAGTGACATCAAAGCCCTCACTACACTGTGCGACTTGGCCGATCGAGAATTGGTGGTTATCATTGGATGGGCGAAGCATATTCCAGGTACCTTTTCTGAAATGAAAAAGGAAAGTTTGCAATTAATTCCCTAAGCTTTATATGTTGATTTAGGCAAATTCACAATTTTCTCATTAGGATTTTAAATTTTTATTTATTTATTTTAATTTGCTTTTTTATTTGTAGTTTTTAAATTCATTTATTGTCCTTGGCCACACTGCACGGCTTGTGAGAACTTAGCTCCCCAACCAGGGATTGAACCCAAACCATTGGCAGTGAAAGCACAGAGTCTTAACCACTGGACCACCAGGAAATTCCCGTTCATTAGGATTTTTTTAAACCTTTACATTTGTTTTTGTCATACTTAATTTAGTGCTTTCTTGGTCCTAATAGAATCATATGCCTTTTTAATAACTGTACCATCTTGAATGCTTGTTAATTATTTTTTCGCATATGAAGGTACTATTGCCAACCTAAGATAAAGAGAATATAACTTGTTAAAATAGTTCTTTATTCTTTTAAAAAGTCCGGGTTTTCTCCTAAGGAAATACTTCTGTTTTTTCTTTTCACTTTAAATAAATGTTTATGAATTGGGGGCTTTAAGGCAGACAGCCTGGGTATAAGTCCTGCCTGGCCTGCCAATGGGACAACTTCCCGAGCTTGCCCTATCTTAGCTTCCTAAACCCTAAATAAAGCTATAATGTCGTAATAAAAAAAAGTTTTTGTCAGGAGTAGTCTAGATACCTTTTTTCCTTTTAAAAATCACTTATTTTGTTGTTCATAGTGGCGATTTATACTGAATTGTTTTTCATATTTGCATATTGCTTTGGTTTACAATTAGATATTTACCATGAATTTATACATAAATTATGAAAATAAATGTTAAATTGACATTGTAAGTATTCTCATATGGTGACTTAAGAGGAGTATTTCAGGTTTTTGAAAAAGTATTTATTTATTTATTTATTTGATTGTGCTGGGTCTTAGTTGTGGCAGGCGGGCTTCTTAGTTGTGGCATGTGAACTCTTAGTTGCAGCATGCATGTGGGATCTAGTTCCCTGACCAGGGATCGAACCCGGGCCCCCTGCATTGGGAGTGCAGAGTCTTATCCACTGCGCCCCCAGGGAAGTCCCAAAAGTAGTATTTTAAAGTATCCAATTATTTTTCTCTCCAGGCCTGTCCTTAGATCCGTGAACATATACCTGATCACAAGGTTTAAGAATTTTAGTAGTCTACTTGAATTATTGTTTGTTTGAGCTTTGATCTTCAAATAGTTTACAAACAAATTTTTGGAGTTTACAAACCAGGGTGTTTCTCTGGTACAGTGAACTTATTTCTGTCTCCTTAAACTAGTTTGTCTTTATGCTTTGAATGCTACAGTAATTTCTTTAATCAAATTGATGGAAGTCCCTTTCCCAGCCCACACTGAAACCAATTTATCGGTCATGATACGCCAGCTATGTTGCTAACAGTCGTAACGAACTGTCAGGCGATATCGCAGTGAAGCTAATTTGAAGTCATTAGGTGTGCAGCGTTCAGGCGACAATTTGTTACAGTGCTTGGGAACACAGCTGACATTTCTGAATGGCTTTGTTCACTGCAGTTCTAGATGAGGCCAAGCAAATTGTAAACTAATTTAAACATCACTCTGTATTATACCGGCTACTTTGTCTTACACTGTTTGCTAATAAAGCACCCCCAATTAAGTCAAAACTAGTTAAATAGGTGAGCTGGAGTGTATTCTTTAGAAGATACCTCCACAAGGGTCACTACATCTAAAAGAAAGATGAGAATTTGATTGTGTGGATAGCTGATTTGCATTTGGATTGTAATCATATCTATAAGGTTTTTAGAAAAAGCAAAAAAAAATCGAAATAGAATATGCTGAAAGATGGTGAGACATTGGAAATTGTAGCGGTGGAAACAACCAGAATTTACCTAAACAGTGTATGAAAACTTTTCTGGAAGGAAAGTGTTATGAAGGGTTTTAGAAAGAAACAAAACTAAGATTTGTTGAAGTGTCCACAGATACTTTAAAAAATAATCAATATATATTATATCATTTACATTTATCCACACACACAGGTACACAGACATACATACTCACAGATTTAAAATAGCATTATTCTAACCCAGGGTTTCTCAGTCTTGACGCAATTGATGTTTGGAACCAGATAATCTTTTGTTATGGGGCCTGTCCTGTTCCTTGTAGGGTATTTAGCAGCATCTTTGGTTTCTACCTATTAGCATCCTTGAGTTGTAACAAACAAAAATGTCTTCACACATTGCCAGATGTCCTCTTGGGGGGGCAAAATCATGCCCCTCTTCCCCGGTTGAGACCCATTGTTCTAACCCAGGAATCAGATATTATTATCCTTAATTCAAAGATAGGGAGATCTGGGGCAGAGAGAGGTAAAAACACTTGCACAGGGCTTCCCTGGTGGCACAGTGGTTGAGAGTCCACCTGCCGATGCAGGGGACACGGGTTCGTGCCCCGGTCCGGGAAGATCCCACGTGCCGCGGAGCGGCTGGGCCCGTGAGCCATGGCCACTGAGCCTGCGCGTCCGGAGCCTGTGCTCTGCAACAGGAGAGGCCACGAATTCTGCCCAAGTTCTACCTGAATTAAGAAATTTGTTAAGCCCATATTCTGTTATCGTACAGACATTCCATAATAACGATCAAGAAAAGTCAACAACTCCTGCTGCTGCTCTCTGGAAAGGAAAAGTCAGTGATAAATTTGTGGGTCCAGTTGTGTATCTAAGTAGAAATGTCAGCTTACAGAGGAACTTGTCACAGTAAAGGGGCTCTGGTGACCTTTGTGAAGACAGTAACTTTAAATAACTATGAGTAACAGCATTTCCAGTGGTGGAAACAATTGCTATACGATTATGTGTTCAGTCTTAAGCTGAGGCTTAGAATTTGTAGGGGCTGACGTTATTCTCTCTCCCCAGCAAATGCCAGAGGAGGTTACTGTGCAATGATGATTCACAGCTCTGTTTTTCGTGATACCCGGAGGGTGTTTTAAATGACTGCAAGGAGTATCTTGGCTTTTCAGAGAGGGATTAGCAAAACACGAATTCACTGAAATGCCTTTAAGTTTCATAACAGTAAGTGTGCCGTGCAGTGTTTGGAGGTAGAAGTAAAAGATGCTGTGATACCAGCGTGCTGGTCTATATAGCCGGGTTCAGGGAGCCTGGGCACGGCAGCAACATGGAGCATGGGATGGGGAGGGGGTAAAGCCAAAGAGAATAGAAAGATTAAAGTCTCATTTCTGCCTTGATAAAAGTAAAAATGTGTTTTTGATACCATGACCTAGTCCTCATAACTGGGGTCGGAGCTGGAATTAAAGCCAAATCAGAACGGAAATTTCACGTCTTAATCTTCACTTCAAAATTATACTAAAATCCAAGCCTTTGCTCTCTTTATGCTGCTCTCAGTTTGTGGAATCGCACACACACACACACACACACACACACACACACTTTTTAAAAATTAAGTTTAGCATATAAGATCAGATCAGTAGCCTTTCTGCACTCCTGGGAAGATACTTTTGTATACTTGCTTTTGCTACATAAAAAAGTGACAAATTCAACAAAAGAAAATATTGAAGAAGAATACATAGGGAGTGGGTTTTTTTTTATCAGTAAATAGAATTAGTTGACTTACTTCAATAAATCACATAAATGGAAAAGTGTGTTGTTCGGAAACATGACCATACTTTATCTCTAGAAGCAAAAAGATCACAAGGGCTTTAGAAAATGCTTGACTTTAGTTGAAGGAGCATAAGGGCACCAGAACAGATGATGGTGCCCTAATAGCCCTTTTTAAGAATGACAGGGCCCCACCATTAGCATCCTTTTATATCCTTGGAAATTGCTCATGCCTCGCTTTTCTGGTTCCTATCTGCCTGACTCTTTTTTATTTCTCTTTCAATTTCGTCCGCGCTCGGATAAGCGCATGCTAACACAATATGATTGAGCTGTAAAATGGACCGCTGTCGCCTCTAATCTCTTTTATGTAGATACGGAGGTCCTGCACACTCCACTTCATTCTCTCTCCATTGTTGGCCTTTTTTTAGAATGGGCTGCCAAGTAATGGAGGCTCCGTCAAATATTAGAGCTAGGTTTCACAGGGTGTGATAAGACGATTATCATCCCAGCAGTCAGATCTATTATTGTTCTTTGTGGTTGATTAAAATATTATTTTGTACTGTAACTTTGTTAGCAAAATGCAGAATGTGCTTCGTCAGATGGTGCTTAAAAAAGCATCACCCATATTAGCTGACCTATATAAGTGGCTTAAATATATTTATGGATCTTGCCAGACGAATGACTTTAAGAGAAAGGTATTTGAACAATTCAGTGAATGAATGTATTTTAGAAGTTGTTTCTTCCTTTATCAAATATGGCAGATTATCAGGTGGGCTTGTTTATTTTTGACATGACAGATCGAACAGTTACCTGCTGAAGAAGGAGGACTCCATTCAAGTTTGGAGCCTCTTAGTGACATTTTTAAAACAGGAAAAAAAACACAAATATCTATAGTTTTTCTTCATACCAAATGAAGGCAGGAACTATTAAGCTCAAAAAGAAAACCACACTCGGAAGAGATGTGATAAAACAGTCTTTATGTATAGTTATTCATGTAAGAAACAGAAGTCTAAAGTATAGAAACCAGTATTCTCCATTTATTCTGAAACATTTTTTCTAAAACGTTCACTTAGGAAAATGTATTAAAACTTGCTCAGCGAGTTGGCTTTTTCTAGTTTTCTCGACAGAAGTACTTAGAATTTTCTATAAATGACAGAAATCTCTAAAGAACATGGATAAACTATTTCTATATATTAGGATATAAATTTTGTGAGAGAATACCCAAGAATATTTTGAACTAATATTTATGGCTAATGATACTGTTTAAAGATATATTTATTGTTCTAATGCATTTTACGTAGAGATCAATTTTTTAGATTGTATCGTTCCCCAGGCAAAGTTGTGAAGGTTTTGTTTTTTAACTGCCCATTACTTATCTTAAACTGCTGGCACCATTAC